ATCAACTACCCTTATAACTCTTTCTCCTTTTCACAAGCTTGGGAAAGAACTTTTACCCCTCTCTTTTACAAGGTATCTCTCACACACCTCCCTTATAATAACCTCTAAGCTCAAGAAGGAAGGACTTAACTTTCTCACAGAGTTTTCATACTCTAAACTCCAAGTTTTTGTTTTCTTTTCTTGCTTTTTCAAGCAAAAAAAATTATGGTATTTATAAGCCCCAAATGGATTTAAATTTGGAGCCAAAATAATCTCATCCTAGGTTTTCAAGATACTAGAGTTACCACCGCCAATACTAGGCGGTACCACCGTATGCCAGACTGACAATTGGCGATACCATCGCCCATCAATCTAACACTTGGCGATACCACTATCTAGCCTGACACTAACACTAGGCGGTACCACCGCTTGGCATAGCCTGGGAGACTATGCCTAGGCAGTACCACAACCCAATCTAGGCGGTACTACCGTCAAACCTTGCTACAAGTCACTAAATAAGATAAATAGTGGGTTCAATTTAGCATTGATTCAAGCCCAATTGACCCCTAATCAAGTTGACATTGTTACACCCAAAACCAACTCAATTAGAACTAACTAACTCAATCTAGACACATGATTACATACATGAATCTTATCTTGTCCGACATGTTATTGGTTCATCCGGTACTTCGTCCGATCCTTCGACACATCATCCTCTATTTCGGCGTATTGCTCAATCAGCATGTTGACTCCCGCAACTTCTAATCTCCTTAGCATAATGTATGATCCTTTCGGCCCGATGCTCGAACTCATAGCACGAAATCCTTCTGACCCGATGTCCAATCTTCTAACATGTTTCACTCCAGCCCAATGTCTGATTCTTCCTGCTTTAATCGAATTATCTTTTCTTGATCGAGGTTAGTCCTTTGTCACTAAAACGCACATTAGATCATAATTTCATTATTAAAATATGAGATTCAACATTTATAACAAGTTTACTAGTGATAGATGGAATAGAATCCGAAACTTTTCGCTTGAATTGTGACTCATCATTCTTATCGGAACTTTTATTAACTTTAGTCTTGTTTTGAGGTATCTTATTATCAATTTAAATTTTATAGGATTTGTGAAGTAAGATAGTTTATATAGATCCACAAAAATTCAAATGATCATAATTTTTATGCTATAAAATCAATTCAGTAGCATTAAGGAGAAATATGAAAATAATATGGGAGATACTTTATTTTTTGTCATCCTCAAAGTTGTTATCAATTTTCTAATTTTTCTATCATAAATCAAGCTTTTTTCATCATCAAAAATAGTATAATATCCTTTTCTCTTAGTTGCTCTATATTAATAAGATTTTATTTTAAACAAGGAATAAACAGCACATCATCAATAATTCTTTTACTAGATTTGGTATTCACGGTAACTATTTATTTTCCTTCTACTTGAACTTTGCTACCATTTCCCATTTGTATTATAGATCCAATTAAATCATTGAGTCTTTGGAATAAACTTTTGTCTTTTGTCTGATTACTGTATCCACTTCCAAAAACCAAATAGATCTAGAATATTCTTTACCATTTGCTATAAAGAAAATGTTTTCTTCATCCCTTTTTTCATCATTATTTTTCTCGTGATAATTTGTTTGATTTTTGTTCCAATAATCTTTTTCAAAATGACCATATTTTTTACAGTAAACATAGAGGGGAATATTTATATTTTTATTTTTGTACTAGCAATTTGTTTCAATATATCCAATTTTTTTACAACAAAAACATCAAAGGGTTTTTCTGTTACCATTATTCGAGTTCCTCTAACCCTCATTTGAGCGATCATGACCTCTACTATTTTGATCCCTCCCTTTGAGATCTAGCTTTTGAATTTTTATTTTGGTCCTTTTTTTATATTTCTTTATTTGAAACATATATTCTCAAGTTTCATATGAAGATCTATTTACTTTTTGTTTATGAACTAAAAGGAAACTCACTAATTCATCCATAGACAATATATTTGTATTTTAGTTTCTTCTATAACAATAGAATCATATCAAAATTTGAAAATAAACTTCAAAAAAAAATTTCATTATAATTTAATCTTTTAGACTTTTATCATAAAAACTCATTTAATTCATCATAGAAGATACTTTTGAGAAGAAATCAGTGATAGATTCATAATTTTTCATCATAAGATTTTCGAATTCACATCGAAGAATTTGAAACTTTAAAATTTTTACCTTGTCTATGTCTCCAAACATAATTTTTCATATTTTCCGAGCTTATGTTGATATTGGTGTCATCATGATTTACAGAAATAAGGAATTATCTATTGTTTGTTTGAGCATGTAGAGAACTTTTGCATCTTTTTGTATATTCGCATTTATCTGTTTTTCTGATATTTAGTAATATTATGATCCTGTAGATCATACTTAACAAAATTAATTTCTATCAAATTTTATAATCCTTATAAATTAAATAAAAATTTCATCTTAACATCCCAAAATTGATAATTATCACCTTTGAAGATAACGAGAAATTGATAAAAATTTCATCTTAACATCCCAAACTTACTCTAATGCTTGTCATCTTTTTTGTTTGTGTTTATGGATCATTAGAAGGAACTAGGCGTATTTTCAATCGTACGGTACTTTGGATTGATCCAAGAGCACCTATCTATATTGATCAAAAGATAAAATATAAAATTTTTAAAATAATAAAAAAAAATTCTATCATATCTCAATAAATCTTTTACCCTCAACAAAAAAAAATTATTTATTTAAATCTAATTTTTTATCTACTTTTTGAATTAATCTTAACACCAAGTTATTAGACTGTGTACATCTCAACGCAAAACTCGAAAGTAGCGCAGGTTCTTACTCCCGAGTGGTGGTCTTCCACCAAAATGAGCCTTGGTGGCTTACACGAGAGAATCTTGAGGAACGCTTTCGAGCTCTCTATCTGCGTTGTGGAACCAGAAACCGGGCGAAGTTGTCGGCGTCGGCGCATCTATATTCTGAATCTGTTTCGCTTCCTTTGAGTTCTCTCTCTTGTTCCACAGAACCGCTGCACTTGCCGTCGTCATTATGCAGATACATACAGAAAGCACATTTAAAACAGATCTCGAACAATAGGAGAAGACTTTCTTGGTGTTGTGGTCGATCGGGTATATGTAGTAACGCTGGAGAATGCTAATAAGTCCGAGGAATGCGACAAAAGAGGACGATACTGTCGCAGCCAACCAAAGCCAGCCATTGGGACCGAGCACCGGAGCGATGGGAACGTCAGAGGGAAGGGGCTTAAACCATATGGTTTGGATGTTGTTTTGCGCGTCATCCGTGGTAGATTTCTCTCTGGTAACAAAGGATTCGATTCGAAGATCCAAGCCAGAAAGGTCCGCGATATTTCCAGATACCGGAAGAAGGAGATCGAGCATGGTGAGGTCCGCCGAGGTCTTGAAGGCACAAATGAGGAGGACGGCAGGGGTTGGACGATTCAGAGTTGTCCTCTGGTGGATGAGTTCCCGAATTATGGAGATGAAGGGTGGGATTCCCCTGCCACCGCTCACTAGTATCAAGGAATCATACCTGTGAGGATCAATTTTTTCTCACGTTAACGTCAACAATGGACAACAACAATATTACTGCTTCAAATCATGTTCGTAAGGACCTTAGGAAGTTCTTGGACATCGGACCATAACGGCCTTCGACCGAAACATAGAGGCGATATTGTGGAACCGGTGATGACAATGTTCTGTAGAGCTTCCGAGTCCATCTTCCTTCTTTCTTAATGATTAGAGACAGCCGCTCAGGTTCCAAGTTGCTGCTGGAGCTCACAGTGAAGGGATGCTACTGGAGTGACGACACTCCCGGAACGTTAATGAAGACGACTCTCAGAGGCTCAAAGGCAAGTCCTACACAAAGAGAGTCAACGTGGGACAACCATAAAGAAATTGTGTGTAGGTTTTCTGCTGCCGAATCGAGGAACTACTAACCTGGGCGCTTTGCGAAGTTTAGCTCAGGGGATTCAGATGACAAAAGGCGTGCGGAAACCAACCTAACCTTTGGCTCTTGTATGCAGGAACCGCAGGTGGCAGTCGACCATGAAAACATACACGCCAGGAAGGATTGGCACATAAACGGGGGCTAAGTATAAATTAGCCGTAGGTAGTTTACATTTAGTATTTTAATTTTTATATTTTAAAAAATTATATTGAAATTATTATATTTACGAAAGTAAAATATTTAATCCTAATTCTTCTTATGTCATCAACTTTATCGACGAAAAAAATCGCACGTATTGTAATATGTAAAAAGAGCAATAATGAAAGAAGTAAAAATAATAATTTTACTTTCTCATCCATTTCAAAATATTAATTTCACATAAACTTCTTCGGTAAAAAAGGCTTTCAGAAAAACTTCTCTAATTTTTTATGTCAATAAAGTTGACAACATGATAAGAATTAAGGTTAAATATTTTACTTTTGTAAGTATAATTTTTTATAATATAAAAATAAAAATACTAAACATAATTAACTATATGTAATTAGTCCTAACATGCCACAATGCAAACTTTAAACGAGAGTCGAGATAGTATAAGCTTCCCGAGCGATGTGCAAGATAAATCCATAAACTATTGAGGTCAACTTGTTTTTCTCAGAGCTCATTTCAAACACTCGACTCATTCTGGACATGTGGACTATTCTTTGGATACGTCTGTGGGCAAAACGTGAATCATGGTGTAACATTCGAAATCATCTTAAAATATTGAAGTATTTAATCAACTCATATATAAAATATTCATTCATAATCAATATATGACAGTATAATCAGTAGTGGGATGATAGGACCCAATAAACAATTGAAAATCAATCCAAAACGATAGAACGGGGATCCTCAATCCTTTGCCAACTCATGTCCAGAGGCTAGCCGCCGGTCACGTTGGCGTGTCGTTAAAGTCACAATGCCAACGAATAAATTACAGCGCCTGTTGCACGGACAGAACAAATTGGTAGCAGCGAAAGTCATCATATGCTCCTGCAGCCTTAGCTCCAAAGCCGAACCCTTCTTCGTAAAGTTGCTTCCCTCAAATCCCATCTCTTCCTTTCTCACAATACCATGGCCTCGGGGTTCTGTTACTTCTCATACCCCACGCTATACGTCCTCCTCCTCGACCTCTTGGGCCTGGTGAGGTACGCCATCTTCGTCGTCTCCAAGCATCTTGGCTTTCTCTTCAGGCGTTCGGATGCAGAATCTCCCACCGGGGGCATCACTCGTCCAGTTCCGCACACGGAAACGAGGCCGCTGTTGTCGCCGACGTCGCTGAAAGCGAGGCTACCGGTGGTGAAGTTCGAGAGCCTCGTCGAGAGGTGGGCGGCGCAGGAGGAACGGAGAGAGCATGTTTGTGTTATTTGCATGCGAAGCTTCGAGGGAAGCCATGAGGTGAGGGAGCTCAGCAACTGCGCTCATGCCTTCCACACGGCGTGTCTCGACTCTTGGATGGATGAGGGCCGATGGACGTGCCCTTTGTGTCGATCGTACCTGTCGTCGTCTTAGGGGTGCGTAGATGTGTAGTAGGATCGTAGAGATTTTGAAGCTTACTATGGTTCCCACTGAAGCTGCATCGATACATTCCGTAGGTCAACGATGAAGCGCACTCCATCTACAGACGTGAGATGCACTGCGCGCACTACAGCCATTTAGGTGGCGGTTGTTCTGTATTCAGATCTATTCTGATTTCTAACATATTATCAGAACAGATTTCCTGGGTCATATCAGGGCAGGGGCAGTTACGTTGGTTCAGACCACTTCCACCGCCATCTAGCTGATACGTTTGACTTCGCAAATAGCATCAACTGTGTTTCTTAAGTGAAATAGCTGCTTATCATTTAATATCTTAGAGTATCAGCCCAAAAAAGAAAAAAAATTCCAAATTTAGTTCCCAAGTTACTTTGACACGACCGATAAATCTATTTTTTTCTCGATTGCACTCTGATAAAAATAACAATAAGGGATTCTTTTTTTTTTTCAGCACATAGATACTTCGCTCTGAATGTGCCTATCATCATATGCTACTGATATGTATACAAGTGCTCCTAAATTGTGAGCGAGACATGGAGATCCGAGATAGAGATTGATCGGTTAACCTCGCTAGCCACACGCCTCAGTGCGTCCCTCTTCCTGGAAATCCAATGCGCAGCTCTGTCTCCACCTCAGTATGTTGGCCGAGTGTGCCAAATGGCGGAACTCCCTTGGAAGCAGCAGATGGCAGCTGAGGCAGTCGCTTGCACTTCAAACATTATAAATTGTCAGATCAGTTAGTTGCATATACGATGTGGAGTTCGGTCTTCCTTTTCAGGAAGAAATTATTTCTTATATTTGTCTCGTTGAATGAAAATTTCTTAGTTTTCTTCAAAATGTTATCCATCATTCTCAAACATCCTATCCCTCAGCCACACAGTTTGTGATGATTAGTTTGGTAAATCCAATTAAACGTACCTTTTCACTTAGTAATGCGTTTTCCTTCACCAAGGAACTCTCCTGAATCAAGTGAACAACAATATCAGTTACCGATCCGATACTGGTCTGCAAAACTTTGTCTATAGCATAGCTTTGATCAATTCACCTTTTCTTTAAGCTGTGAAATCTGCTCCTTCAGCAAATGATACTGAAATCAATATAAAATAAAGGATGTAAGCTACAGTGGGTTTCTGTTAATAATTTAACAGCAAGTTATAGTAGAAACTTGGGTTGCAGACTTGCCTTTCTTCCTCTGATGCTACGCAAGCTCTGTTCTATCTTACCTTCTAATTCATTTAGCTCATCAAATGAACATGACTCTAAGTTTTCACCCAAAAGCTTCCTGCAGCAATGAAGTTGATGCCTTTAAAGTTTTGTTTTCTGATTGCAATAATATCAGACGAGCAAACTATCAGAGTAGAACTCACTGCTTAGAGGCTTCAAGATGCTCAATCTTCTTTGACATGCATGCTGCTTCATGCTTCCACTGCTACACTTGACAAAACTAACTATAAATATTATGGTACATGCTAATTATACAGTCATTTTAAGTATATTTCCTGATCATGCATGATAGGAAAAGATCTATAAAGAAATCCAATCCTAGAAAATAAGATGTTTCAATCATTTGTTTGTCACTTATTTAACCAGGTCTTTTTAACTTCTTGAAGTTGATTCTTACTTGAACACAGTATAAACCAGCTTCTGGGAGGTAACCCATATAGTTTAAGAAGTTCCACTCTGAAGCAAAGTACAATTATGGAACCCAAGTTACAAAAGATAGGAATACAATACCTCAGTATCTTCTTCCATTATAGTGCTGCTGGTATCTTCTCTGGAGTATTCTCTATAACGCTCAAGGGTGCTTTGCATGCTAGAGAAATAAAGAACAAATTCAAGGCATGTCAGCTTCTAATAGTATAAAATTGATGGCTTAACAGAAAGAAATCCAAGGAGAAAAGATGAGAACCAGAATTGCAGAAATATTACACCAGATTATGTGCACGCAATAACTTATTCGATGCCAATAAATGGGAAAAAAATGTTGTGTTCGTACTTATCGATTCTACATATGCATCTTAATCATGAAATTTTCACTATTCTGGTCTTAAGCCCGAAGCAAGAAGGGAGGTTGCATCAGGCAAATAGCTAAGTTGGAACTTTGACAGATCATGAGTATGGACCTTTGCCAATTAGATTATGGTATTAAACATCCTAAAAAGCAAAAGGTGGGTTAGGAGATTGTCTGGAAGCAATTTATTTATTTATTTTTTCATCAAAGGATAAGCGATGAAGACAGGATTCGAGCCTAAGAACGTGCAACAAGCTATCAAAGTCTGTATCAGCTAAGTTAGTTGAGCAACATATATTTTGAATCTCTTCTTTAATATTTGAAACTTTTACCAAAGATATCATTCGTGTATAAATGAGATATTCAGAGTTGAGTTAAGCATTAAGAGTATGTCTTCCTCGTAATCTTTTACAATTAAATAACAGTTATATGAATGGATATTATTTATGAATCACAATATTGGCCGACAATATGGATGTGAGAATATCTTATGCTTTAGAATATTGGAGAGGAAACAATCTACCTAATGACCTGCCGATGAAGGAGAATCATAATGACAAGATCAAATTTTGCTAATCCTCATGTTAAGATTTCACAAACTTTATTGCATGTGGTGGACATTCTGATATGTTTATACTGAACGGTGATAGGCATATCCTAATATCTATTGTGTGTAGACATTCAACAGCGTTTGCAATCCTCATACTAAGATTTCACAAACTTATTGCATGTTTTCTCAAGAATTGATATGTTCAGTACACACAACATATGTCATATTAAGACTTTGCAATTAACTAAGCAAGACAAAAGGGTTGTGAGCATGAATGACTATAATGAATAAGATGTCATATCTATATCTTTGGAGATCAATATAGGTTTTATCTACTTATATTATGGTCTTCAGATTTTCAAATGATTTTGAAGTTTGGTTATTGGGAAGAATGTTCTGAGTAAACCCAAATTTAACAATTCTTAATCATTAGTTCTTAGTCTTATTATTACATGTTTATAATACCTAATATTTGTAAGTGTGTGTTATTTCCTATGGAGGAGATATCACTTGAGCAATATTTTTTTCAGTTTCATGCCCACGCTTACACACGCTTATCCTTATAATATGCTTCTCTCTCTATTTCTTTGTTGTTTCTCTCTCTCCTTCAAGCTCTCCTCTCCTTTACCTTTATACAGCCTCTATATATTTTGTTCTTACAAGCTGAAATCACAAAGAACGGATTTCTAGCTGAAGAACATGGTAAAGATAAAAATGACATGTTAGAACAAGATAGTAAGAAGAAGAGATAAAACCATTATATTAAGAACAAAACAAAATATTCTATGTTTCACTCATAAACTCTATATATTTAATGATCTAACATATGAAATTTATATAGTTTCCAAAAATATATTACAATCATTATATTTAATATGAATCACTCTTTTTCAAGAGACTCTTTCAAGAATCAATAGTTAATTTGATTTATTCTTCTATAGGCCTTTAATATATTTCACTTGTTCAATCTAACATGTCAAGTTTCTTTCGAAGTTATTGAAATATTTCAAATTGGAAAGTTTCTATAAGTATATCGGTCACTTGTTTACTTGTCTTGACATGAAGTAACTCCACTTCTTTGCTTTTGATGTGATCTCTTATAAAATAAAATATTATATCGAAATGTTTTGATCTTTCATAATAGACTAGATTCTTGGCGAAAACAATAACTAATTCATTATTAACATAAATCTTGATTGATTTCTTCTATGGCATATGAAGCTCTTGGAGTAGTTTTCTTAGCCACATTGCATGACAAACACATTATGATACTATTATATATTCTGCTTCACAATTTGATAGAGTAATGATATGTTATTTTTTTAAGACCATGTGAATATAGCTTCACAAAAATAAAATATAAATTTGATTGTACTCTTCCGATCATCGTAGCTTCCGGCCAAATCACTATTACTACATCTAATGAGCTCTAACCTTTTAGATGATGAATAGAACATTTCATACTCAATTGTTCCTTTAATATAACACAAAATTCCTTTAGCGATCTTCGAATGAGATGTCTTAGGAGTTTCCATATATCTACTTATTAAACCAAATCCAAATAGTATATTAGGTCGAGTGCATGTCAAATATCTTAAACATACAACTAGACTTTTATAATAAATTGGATTAATTAGTTTACCTTCATCTTTCCTTATCAACTTACTCTCATATCTCACAGTTGTATTAATAGGGTGACAATCTTCTATAGAGAACTTTTTTAGAATCTCCTTTCAATAATTTTCTTATGAGATAAAAATTCTTTCATTATCTTGTATAACTCGATACCAAGGAAATAAATCATTAGGCTCAAGTCGATCATCTCACGCTCTTTCTTTATATAGTATTTAAAATCTTTAATCATAAAGATATATGAAAGCTTATAAGATATCTCATTTAGAAGTCAAGACAAAGAAAGAGTAAGGACAAGACAAAATATTCTATGTTTCACTCAAAAACTCTATATATTTCATGGCCAACACATGGGGTTTATCTAGTCTCCATATATACATTATATTTATTATATTTAATATGAAAAACTCTTTTTTAAGAGACTCTTTCAAGAATTAATTTATCCTTCTATAGGTCTTTAATATATTTCACCTCTTGATACAGTGAAAATATTTATGATACGTAGTTTAATTTCAACAATACATAGATTCCAAGAACATATTAAGAATCATGATTCACTTATACAAAGAACACGTAGATGTAAAAATAAGGGGCTATGCACTAAAAGTCGTGTAGTGGTTGTGGCTTAAGCATTCTAAATTCTCCAATTAAGATTCGAAGTAACGAGGAATAATATTTTTCTGTAAAAACTAAGATTCAGTTTATGGTTCTTAAGTTGAGGATCAGGTGAAAAGGTCAGGTTATCAAAACACTGATGAAAACAAGTCATTGTTCCTTTATGTTTCTAGAATTTACTATGGAAGTCAAAATTCAAGCATAAACCTTTTTATATCTTGCTAAATTGAATTGGAAGCATATCTCACAGTTTACTTGTCTCAATTGTTCAAGCTTATGCATAAACATACAAAAGAGACTAGAAATTTGTATTAGTTTTGGGTTTGGTATGTCATGCTCAGAGAGTGAACCGACTGAGGCAACAAATTGTCATTGTTACAAACATTTTATTTGTCTTGTGTGTAATTGAGCTAACCATAGACTTAGCACAAGTTAGATCTAAACTTAACACATCATATCAGTTTGCTCAGAGAACAATAATATAAACCAAGTATAATAGTTGTTTAAAGAACTAGGTTTGTTGTGCCACATGCTTCATAGATTTGCACCTCATTTTCACAATACAAAGACAAATACTTGTTTCTTACTGCTTCGCATTCAGCTACATTAATTTGTTTCCTTGAGTATAGACATGGACTGGACAACTTTGAACCATAGGACTGCAAGTTTCACTAGACAACAAATGCTTTTCATTTCATTATAGCATATGCATATTGATCAATCTATGCCATCAAGGAAAAAGGGCTTAAGATGCCTTTATGCACTTATGGTTGTATATTTCACTCGTAAAGAAAGAAACATCATATAATCAATGGAAGTTACATGCATGATCTGGTAACCCTGTAAACATATGGACATTTGTGCTTCTTAGACAATTTAGACAGCATAAGCCAAAATGATTCATACGAATAACATATATCACATGCATCTTCTTTTGATTAGGATTTTATCAAGTGTCATTATCTATTTCCAGTATCGAATTTATTCCATGATTGCTAAAAATACCAACAGAAGTTATATTTGAAGTTCTTTAAGCGACCAATAAGTATCTCACTGAAAATAGTATGTGTACAAATACATGCAAGTCTTTGTTCATGTTAGTATGTATGTCTGTGCATATATATATGTGAATACAAGGAGATGAGAGCTCTCATATGAAAGAAACTAAAGGAACATGTAAAGCTTCATATTATAATCATGAGAATTATGATTTCTATAAGCACCGTATTGCAACATGTCACAGGAGATATAAATGTGGACGACGTAACACATTAATTGCAAATACCAGGAAACTTGATACCCGTAGAGTAGACATTTCCGCAAACATGAAGTGCGTGCTTGTCAATAGGAAAAGAGATCAAAACAGTGCAGGAAGGGAACTATTCAAGTTGATCTCCGGTTGAAAGAACAGTAACAAAGTATTCTCATAAATTACTATGTCAAGAGTTGTATTGGAAATCCTCAGCCACGAGGTAGCCATACCAAACTACTCAGTTCATATACTATTGGCCTTCTGTAAACCCTCAACGCGGAACTTTTTCTCGAGGTAATAATGGATTTCCGTAAATACATGTAGCTGATATTAATTTGGCATTCCATTTGTACGTACAGGAGGAGAGACTGTGAACCAACCAAGATGTTGCTCGCCACACTATAGTATAGTACTGATATATATGTACGTTAATCAAGTAAAAGGACTTTGCCATGTTTTCTTGAAGCAAGATATGAATAGGCCTCTTTCCACCATTGCAAAGCAGATGGTGGAAGAAGAGACCAGAAAAAAAATCTGGGAATTTGGCTGGTTAACCATGAAGGCAACATCAGATAGACAACTCTCTCTCTCTCTCTCTCTCTCCAGGGAACAACTGCACCACTAGCTAGGAAATAGGAAAATGAGACCCTAGGTAGATTTAGAAGATGACCAAAGCTGATCACAAAGATAGAGCAACCCACAAAATCTGAGATGTCTGCCGGAGAAGAATCTCGGTAGAGAGGTAAGGTTTTTGTTCGAGTTCTAATTTCTTTGTTTTGGGTTAGTAATCATCAAGAAATCCTCCGGAGGAAAGAAAGCATAAACAATAATGAAGGAAGGAGGGAGGGCAGGTGAATGGAACCTGGAGCTGGAGAACTCGTACAGCTTCCCCCGGGAAGAGAAGATGATGAGCGCGACCTCGACGTCACAAAGCACGGACAGTTCGTAGGCCTTCTTCAGCAGCCCGCTCCGGCGCTTCGAGAAGGTCACCTGCCGGCTCGTCGCGTTCTCAATCCGCTTCATCTCCGTCTTCCCCCTCACCATCGCGATCTGCCCTCCCCCTCTCTTCCCACCTGATCAGATGAGCAAATGATCCAGAAAAGGGCAGAAAAAGGGGGATCATGCGAGACCAGAAAAGAAGAGAGGAATATCTCACAAGAAGTAGCGAGAGCAAGAGCGAGGCCGGCGGTGCCCTCGCGAGAAGGAGAAGTAAAAGCAAAGAGAAGGAGAGCAGCTCGTATTTGTTTGCTCAGGAGGAAAAGAACGGCGAAAAGAGTAGGAACCACTCTCCCCTTTCCCTATTCTCAGACCAACACCGGTAGAAAGAAATAAAGGCAGTAGTGGGGACGGAAGGTGGACCAGAAAAAGAGCAACCGCCTCTTCCCCGTTACCGCTCCGCTCGGTTAAAAAGCAAAAGCAGTGGGGAAAAAGGCATGCCAAAATAAGGAAAACACATGGATCATTTTAGCCCACCACTCCCCTGATTTATTCCCGAAAGATGCCTAAGCCTTCAGGTCGTCGGTTGGGTCTTCGCCTCCGCGGGCCCCATCATGGTCGCGAGATCAGAATCCTGTTCCCTGTCCCAGACGGGACAGCGGCCACGAAGTGGGCGCGCGTACGGTAGCTTATCGCGATCGTCGCCCGACCAATGGGACGCAGGAAGAGGGAGGCAGGTCACATGGCACCTTCGCCGCCCTCCCCAGTCTCCTCCGCTCGTCATCGCTCGTCTTCTATACAAAGTCATCGACTTTTGCCATTTAGGTGGTGATTTCAGGTTGTTCGTCTTTCCCTATCGCTGCTTCTCCGTCGGTCTCGGGGACCAAAGCTGGTGTCAGTCCCCATCATTCCACTTTAATTTCCACAAACATGCTTTGCGCCTTTTGCTCGTTGCTGGCGGATCATTAGACGACGGCTAATGTCCGATGATGAGACGATAAGGTCATGAGGACGACACCTCGTCGTTTCTTCTTGGGAAGTAAATATCTCAGTTGCAGACCTCGGATTTCCACGAGCAGGCGGCGGTAGAGAAGAATTAGAGCGACACGGTATTACTCCGGTAGGTGTTTAGTGGGGTGGTGCGTTCGGATCTTTTAGTGGGTGGCGAACTCACAGCCAGGCTTTTGTTTAAGGAATCGGGGAAGAGATTATTGGCGTGGCAGAGCCCTCTATCAATCGCTGTCACGTGACTACTCACCTCACACGTTATTTTATCATCTAACTTTATATTTCATCTGGTACATTTCAGTCCTTAAAAGAATTATTATTAGCAAACCTTTTTCTTTATTGATAATTTTCTTACTTCGTACAATTATTTTCAAAAATAATTTTAGTAACTACAATTATCAATTACCAATCATATCCATATTTTTCATATTTCCTTAATTATCAATCATAGGCTCATAATGTTCCCCCATTATCAATTTATTTTGTTGATGTAAAAAAACGTTTAATATTTTGGAGCATCGCATTGATTATCAGTATTTCTTTCATCATTTTATGACAAGAGGAAGAAAAAAAAATGGTATAGAAGGAGTTGGAAGAGTTTCTTAGAATTAATGAATAAGTTGAGAATATTTACATTTATTTATAGAGAGGTAACTTAGGAATATTTAAAATTCTTAAAATGAGATGGAGATTATTATTTGTAATCTTTTTTATTACTATTTACATTCATATTTTAGAATTTTTAATATTTTTTAAATTATTCATTTATAATCTAATGTAAATACCCTCTTATTCTTCTTCCTCATCTTCTTCTTCTTTTTCTTCCTCTAACTATTATTCTTCCTCCTTAGAGGATGGCGTGGAGAGGATAATAAACAAGATCGGATGATATTGAGCGGTGTTAACAATGATAGCGAGTAATATCAGCATCGAGCAATATTGGTAATAAGCAACGAGACCTTCAGCTACACATGGTGAGAATCAAGTGGGTCATCGCTTAATGTTACCGATGTCAAAATTAATCAAAGAGGCATTAGAGGGGGTAGCAACGACATCAGCATGGAGTGGTGTTGACGACGAGGATGAAATAAGAGATCGTAGGAAAGAAGAAAAGAAAAAATCGATAAAATCAATAATACTAGGCTGTAAATAGTAAATAATATTATATTATTTTTTAAAGATATTGACAGCATTAAAAATGAGTTGCAAACAGTAAGCTTCAAATTAGATTCTGAATAGAAAAAAGGGTTACCAATAAAAATCTTCTTAAAAAATCAAGTCAAGTAATATCATCTTTCAACACACTTTATATATATATATTATATATAAATATAAATAAAATATTAATGTGTAAGGTGAAGATCAAATAGGACCAAATAATAGTTTGGTATTGTTAAGGGTTAACAAAGTCAGGTGCTTATGTTGTGTTTGGTCAAATGTATATTACTTTGATTAGTTTGAGTAAAGCTTGCTTAAATTAAAATCTCAAGATGATATTTTAGGAAATAAAAAATAATATTTGGTTGTTAAGGATGGAGAGAATCGAATATGATATATCGAACTTAATTTTTTTTTAGTTATGTTAGTGTTCAATATTATATATGTTGTCCCGACTAGCTTAATAAGGATTGAAAAACATAGATGATATGTATTCGATTTCATCTACAAATTAATCATCTAAAATTTTGGATTGCATTGATATTCAATATCATGTATGTTATCATAACTAGTTTGATTCAGACTTATCCTACTTAAAATCTTTGCTTAAACTTTCGTGATTGAAAGAAGAAATATTTCTTATCTGAAATGAAGATTAAAAGATGATCTGAGGTTTCTCACCACAAGACAGAGATAATTTACAAATGTTAGCTAGCAATATGGAGAAACAGTTGTTAGCTAGCAAAATCCTCGCCATGTAACAGTAGCTCGTACTAGAATTCCTGTGCTTTAACTCCCGTGACAGAGCGGACAAAGGCCAGGCGATGCAACTCTGCCTACAACCATGTCTCGGTGTTCCATTTTGCGAGATAGTTGTCCTCATTTTAGGGCGAATGGACTCCCCATATCTATGTTCTCTAGAGGAGCAGAAGGAGGAAGAAGTTGACAGGACTCGGTTGTCTTGGTCGCGGGCAGCCTCAGCATGGTGCCGTAGTGGTCCGGGTGAGAACCCCTGCTGGAAAACAACATGACCGCGACATACACAGTGGCCAAAGGTTTCGCAAATACAATCGCTGTTGTGGTGGGGGAAGAGCCAGACTTGATCCCGTGGCTGCCGGTGCTACACGCGCCACCTTGTGCAGTATAGCATTGTCCGATCCGAGCATTTTATCTTTGGTCTCCTTCTATAGAACTCTCATCACAATATAGAGGTCAAGATTTTATTGGGCTGGCTATTATGTAAGTCAATAATCCGAGTACAAAACCTGTGATCATCAGATAAACACAGAATTGCTAGTCAACACCTGTAATGGGTCGTTCTCTCCTAAATATGATGGTCGTAAGCAGCGCTCATGTGATCTACCTTCTCTCTGAGCTGCGCTATCTGCTCTTCCAGCAAGTAATACTGAAATTTGTAAAAGGGAAGCATGTAAATGTGCAGTGTTTAATCGGACAACCTAACAAAAGCGAAGTAACCTCTATTGTGACTTGCCTTCCTTCCTCTTATTCCGCAGAAGCTTTGTTTTAGCTCGCCCTCGAACTAATGCGGTTCTTCAAGATTTTGACCCAGGAGTCTCCTGCATGCATCTTCATGTGTTAACCTTTCATGCACAGAAAAATTTCTACTCGTTGCAGTGTTCTTCAAAGTATTACGCTAAAGCTCAGTGTTTGGTGATTTCAAGATGTTCGATCTTCTTTGACATCGATGCTGCTTCGTGTTTCCATTGCTTCAATAGAAACGATGACTCTTGGATTGTAGTCACTGATCATGCAGATGCACAAACGTATTTTACAAGCGATTCCATTCTGGGTATGGTAGTAAAGGCCTGGAATCAGGACGATCCATCCATTTGCAACCCAAGTTGCTGTTGGTGCTGTGGGGGAAGGGGTAAGGACATGGAAAGGAGTGGTTCGTATCTTTCAGGTGCGCAGGCCATGCACATCGGTTCCCGAGCATCGACCGAGCCTGTCATGTTCGTTGTCATAGATGGGTTCATCGGTCGGGCACAGGGCTCGCCTTTCGTACGGCCTCCATCGGCATCCGTACACTGTTCGCGGACACCTTAGCCTCGGAGGAGGCTGATCGTGGTCGCGCGTGCCCGTAGGAACGCCTCTCATGTGCTTTTTCTGCCTGCTTTTTCTGCCTCCCCATTCCTCTTCTTTCCTGCCCACGCCCACAGGTTTACAAGGCACCCTCTCTCTCTCTCTCTCTCTCTCTCTCTCTCTCTCATGGCCTCACGGTGAAACCTTTTTCTCTTGTATTCTGTGCGTGGGTGTGTGATGGTGATTTCAGATGCTTGGGCCTCCTTTTTCTCCTGTCACCGGTTCCGGGACCAAAGCATCTGTCAGCTGTCAGAGGCTGCAGCATTCCAAGTTGCATCATGATTGTGAATTTGTCTTGGAAGTCCCTCCTGAGCTAAGAGTACTAAACAGTGGATGGCAGACATGTCACCATTGTCCAAGGATGAGATTTCATAGGATTGCATGTGAGGGTAAGAAGATATATTACTGGGAAGCTATATACTCCGAGGTTTACGATCTTGCATCCAAACGTGAAAGCGGTGAAGGTGGCGTGATAAGAGACTCGGTTCGAGTAGGTCCGCTAGTGTGTATGCAACTTGCAACGCGCCTTTATCAAGGAATAAGTGGGAAATTAATTAGTGGTCTATTTGAGCGTATTGTCAATATCTCTTTTCCTTTTTAATTTTAGTTTTTGATTGATGATCGTATCCTTTCATAATTAATTTGAAATTTATATTATTGAGAAGAAAAATATTGACGACTGATGAACTTGACATGATCTGGACCCGTATACGTATAATTATTCGAAAATGCTAAACTTTCAAATGTGTCATTTGTACTAAGAACTAAGTCACAAGAAGTTTCTCGATTCAATCCCTTCAACGCTCAAGTTAGAAGACCAAGTTATATGAGTATGAACATAACTGATCAAAAAAGATAAAACCCTCTTTTTATTATGTTGAATATGAGCTTTTATACTTTATTAAAAAATATCATAATATTTTCATAAAATATTTTATGGGAAGATAATCTCTAATAATCTTCAATAACCTTTCTTTCATAATAAAATATCATAATAATTTTCATAAACTATTAGACACCACATGATAATTACTTGTTGAATGATGATTAATTAATTGTATACTTTTTTGTCATATATTATATTAAAATGTAATATATATATATATATATATATAT